GCTGTTCTGTATCGCTTTTTCGTATCTGTGTGCGTGTGAGACACAGGAGGAGGAACCTCACAAAGTCCTGTCACGTCAAGCCCTGAAGCCTCATTTAGATTTTAATATTAGCTTTTATTTCATCATGTGTGAGACGACAGAGTGTGTGTGTGTGTGTGTCCACACCTCAAACTGAGGCCAGTTCATGCTCATGCCCGGTCCGTGTGTGTTCCTCCACCATCTGAGGTCCTCGGTGTCGTTGGCTGCTCGGATGGTTTGACCCAGGTCCTGGTACAGAACCTTGAACCTGTCGGACGCAGATGACTGTCAATCATCACGTCTACACCCTCGTCCTTCAAATTCTGTCTTAAGGGATTTCAACTCTGTCAAAGTGAAATGTCAGACGAAAAATCTATTTTCTATAAGATGAGATAAGATAAGTGTGTATGTATCGTTTGATCAACACGAGACATTTCTGTTTTGATGTTTATCTGTGCAAAAACAAAAACCTGTTTCTTTACAGGGAATACAACCACAGTAGATGATCTTTTAACTTGTGTGTCTCAGCCTCTGAATCGCTTCAGCTCTGAGCATTTTTTTACTGTTTTCCACCGAACAAAGATTTTGTTCCCCATCACCAAACATTGGAATGATGTTAAAACTGAATCTCTATACAGCCTGTATACACACGGATGGACATTTACAGCATTTCAATTAATGCCTGACCATGACAGAATGGTGTTGACGCACACATTTGGAACCTTAAGATGTTGGGCACCGCCCCTGGTGAACGCCCTCGTACGCAGGTAATGAGAGACTCCATGAACCAAAGTCTTAGTCTGGACGTCAGGTCTGAGGTCTGCTGACAGGTGGTCTCTCATTACTGCGGCTGCACCACGAACCTGAACACGGCTTGAATCGCATCATCGAAATCCCCGCGTAAACATCTCGTGTCAGGTTCGTCTCCACAGAGTTTAAAAAAAAAAAAAAGGTGGATTTGTTCAATATTTGGACCAAGAACTTATTGGACTTCTCCCAATCAGGGTTGCCATGGTAACAGGGGCTTGTTTAAACAGAACGAGAAGGTCAATAGTTAATGGACAACATGAGTTTCCCATTAACTCCTGTGTACACACACACATGTTCACAAACTGTGACACGTCTGCATGCCGTCATTCTGAGTCATGGCTCATCAGTCGTGTGTGTGTGTGTGTGTGTGTGTGTGTGTCGTACCCCTCTCGGGCGGACAGGTCGAGGTGTGTGTGGATGTCCAGCAGGACGTCTTTAAAGAAACGCAGCCTGTTGCGCTCAGCCTCCTGGGTGAGGTCGAACACCTGCTCCATGTCCTCCATGTATCGAGGGTTACATCGGTTCAGCTCCTCCAGGGCCTTCTGGTAGCGCTCCTTCACCTGGCGTGCACGCACAAACACACACACACACAAACACACACACAAACACACAAAGAGGTCACACAGACCTGTTTGGTCAAACTAGAATCATAAAGACGAAGAGGAACCAGGATTTTCCATGTTTTCAGTTTTTTTCTGTTGGGTTTGTGCAGAACAGAGAATAGAGGAGACAAGCCTGGTCATGTTACACACACACATGTTTTCTTGGACTGACACACCCAGAGTGGTACCAGAAGGAGCTCCGCATGGGAGCGTGTGTGTGTGTGTGTGTGTGTGTGTGTGTGTCTCTGTGTGTGTTTGTACTTTCTCGGCCTCCTGGTTGCAGCGCTCCACCCGGGTCGTGTATTTGCGGACTTCCTCTTGAGACTTGGTCGGGTCGGCCTTGGCGTGTGTTTCCCTGGTTGACGCCGTCCACTCCTCCTTCCTGGCCTGATGGTAGCTCTTCTTACTGGACTCCACCTTCACACACACACAGACACATTATTATCTAGAAAAGATGTCGTCATGTGTCCTCATTGACACATCTGATCAAATATTAAAAAACTTGATGAACGACTCGATTCCACGGCAGCATCACCGACCACTCACAGATGAGCAGAAAAGTCATTGTCTTATTCACACAAATTTGGATTCTCGGGGTGAGTTGTTCCAGACACTGACCATCGTTTAAATGTAGACACGTCTGTAAATGCATCATCGACTGTGCTGCAAACCCCCCCCCCCCTCAGAAACCGCTCACCTCTTTCAGTTTGCGGACCCAGGGTTTCTGGGCTTTGCGGAAGCCGTCGTCTGCGTCCTTTGTTTCCCTGAAGCCTCCCATCATCTGCTTGTGGAAGGCGTCCTTCTGCCAGTCGCGCACCTTCTCGCTGTCCTCGCTCGCCAGCCGCTGCCGCAGGTCCAGGTGCAGCTCGCTGAGCCGATCAGCCGCCTGCATGAAGGCGTGCCACGCCTTCTCCAGCGTGCCATACTGAGGCCCTGAGGAGGTAGAGAGGAGATATTCCATCACCTCAGTGAGCTTCAAAAACCTGAAGCTGTGCGATTACGATATGTTAAAAGACTTTTTGTATGAAAACTGGCTCTGGACTTTTCTTTGACCGACCTTTCTCCACGACGCCCCTCCACCTCTTGGCCCAGTCGCTCAGCTGCAGAGCGTAGCTCTTCTCGATCTTCGCTCTCTCCTGGAAGCAGCTGACCAGCTCGTTACACAGCCGGTGGCCGTCGTCGATTCTCTTCACCGTCCTCTTGTAGTTCCCCGGCTGCAGAGATCCACACACACACACACACAGAGAGAGCAAATAAGAGACGAGACTGAACCTGAGCTTTTACTGTCGTTCAGTGGACGATGCAGAGAAATAGAGATGAAATGAAGAGAGCAACCGAGGACAGACAGAACAGAGAGCAGCTACAGGTATGTAGTTTTTCCAGATATTGGTGTGCGAGTCTTGACAGCACAAACTCATCGACATGGATCCTTACTTGACTGCAGAGCTTCTGTCACATTCATTTATTTCAGGTTTGATTTCCATAATGTGTCTCAACTGGTTAAATCAATCCATGTGTGTGTGTGGGTGAGCACTGTACCTCCCAGAAGCTGTCAGAGCTCCCCAGGTCGCTGATGTCTCCGTTGGAAGACATGTCGGCCTTACAGCACGGAATGATGGCGGTTACAGAAACGACTGAGAGACATAGAGAGAGAGAGAGAGAGAGAGAGAGAGAGAGAGAG